ATTAACCACATAATTTTAGAAAGTTAAATTTCACTAGCCACACGCAGGCCTGATTACTGCCAGACCTGTTGAATCAAGAAATCACTTAAATAGAACCTGTCTGACAAAGTGTAGCATGCTTAAAGAGCAGCACATCATGCCGCAATCTAAAGAAATTCAAGAACAAATGAGAAACAAAATAGTTGACATGTATCAGTCTGGAAAGGGTTATGAAGCCATTTCTAATGCTTTGGGCCTCCAGCGAACCACGGTTAGAGCCATTATCCACAAATGGAGAAAGCTTGGAACAGTGGTGAACCTTCCCAGGAGTGGCCAGCCTACCAAAATTACTCCAAGAGCGCAACAATGACTCGTCCAGGAGTTCATAAAAGAACCCAGAACAACATCTAAAGAACTGCAGGCCTCACTTGCCTCAATTAAGCTCAGTGTTCATGATTCAACAATAAGAAAGAGACTGGGCAAAAACTGCATCCATGGTAGAGTTCCAAGGCAAAAGCCATTGCTGACAAAAAAGAACACAAAGGCTTGTCTCACATTTGCCAAAAAATATCTTGTTTATCCCCAAGACTTTTGGGCAAATATTCTGTGGACTGATGAGACAAAAGTTGAACTTTTTGGAAAGTGTGCGTCCTGTTACATCTGGCGTAAAACCAACACAGCATTTCATAAAAAGAACATCCTACTAAGCGTCAAACATGGTGGTGGTAGTGTGATGGTCTGGGGCTGCTTTGCAGCTTCAGGACCTGGATGACTTGCCATAATTGATGGAACCATGAATTCTGCACTCTATCAGAAAATCCTGAAGGAGAATGTCTGGCCGTCAGTTTGTGACCTCAAGGGCACTTGGTTTATGCAGCAGGACAATGATCCAAAACACACCAGCAAGTCCACCTTTGAATGGCTCAAGAAAAACCAAATTAAGTGGCCAAGTCAAAGTCCAGACTTAAATCCGATTGAGATGCTGTGGCATGACCTTAAACAGTCCATTCATGCTCAAAAACCCTCCAATGTGGCTGAATGAAAACAATTCTACAAAGAAGAGTGTGCCAAAATTCCTGTGAAAGACTCATTGCCATTTATCGCAAACGCTTGATTGCAGCTGTTGCTGCAAAGGGTGGGACAACCAGTTATTAGATTTAGGGGGCAATTACTTTTTCACGTAGTGCCAGGCAGGTTTGAACAGCTTTTTTCCCTTAATAAATGAAATCATAATTTCAAAACTGCAGTTTGTATTTACTCAGGTTATCTTTGTGTAATATTAAAATGTGTTTGATGATCTGAATCTTTTAAGTGTGACAAAATATGCAAACAATTAAAAAAACAGAAAACAACTTTTTCACACCACTGTATATATTTATAATAGCACTGTCTAATATTGCAGGTTTTTATTTTATCTTGTGATGGCTGGAAAGGGCATCTCCACTGCCACAATCCCACAAAGCAGATGGACACAAGAGGATTATGGGTAAATGGAGTAGAAACAGACAGAATGCATTTTATTTTCAGCAGTCAGTGTATTTGGAAACTGTCTGATCCATCTCTTCTGCATTCATATGCAAGCACTGAACTTAAAAAAATGGCGAGTATATGTGGATCTTGTGACCATTGTGAAGGTTAATGGATAGGAAATGTTTTCATAGGTATGCACAGAAAGAAATAAACAGGCTGAATAAGTGAAGTCATATATGTGTACAAGGCAGGGTGGGATGAGGTGTAGTGGTCGACCGATATATCGGCCGATATTTGGCATTTTTCAAATATCGGCATCGGCTGATAAGTTTTCCTGTTTGGCCGATGCGTTCGAGGCGGGACTTTTATTTTGACGGCACTGAGAGCGGCAGCGCCTGAGCACACAGTGCTCACATTCTCTTCGCTGTCGTCGTTAACAGTTCTGTCTAATACGAATAGAAGTCTGTCTAATAATCAGATAGAACAGTTAAACAAAGGAATTAAAATGTATACAAAAAGTAGTATAACGATTGCTTTTATATTATTAGTAATAGAAAGGCAAACATTATAATACTTTCTTGTTTGCCATCAGTATTCAGCAAATATGCATTTATATAATTTAAAGGGGTCATATGATGTTGCTAAAAAGAACATTGTGTATTTGGTGTAATCAAATGTGTTTATGTGGTTTAAGGTTTAAAAAACATTTTCTACATACTGTACATTATTGTTTCTCCTCTATGCCCCGCCTTTCTGAAACGCGTCGATTTTTACAAAGCTCATCGTTCTGAAAAGCGAGGTGTGCTCTGATTGGCCAGCTATCCAGTGCGTTGTGATTGGCCGAATACCTCAAGCGTGTGACGGAAATGTTACACCCATTACCATACTGTGATGCTGTGTCCCGGCCGAAACGACTAGACAAAAACATTAAAACCCATTTTAAACGAGGCATTTGTTGCATCCAAGTGGGGACTTAATTACAGATTATAAAGACTTATACTGTCTTTTTACGCGTTGCGTTGCATAGCGCCGCGTAAACATAAAACCATGTCTGCATTTGTGATCGGAGAAATGACAAACAACAACCGCTACTCTACACTGCTCAAAACTCGCGTTATAATCATCAGTGGCAAATCCTTTAAATATGAAAACGTACTTACAGGATGTGAGTCAGAACAGCCGGCATTGTAGTCTATTCTCTCAGGAAACAGTCCTCCATAAAAAGCGCTTCACACATCTGAATATTTGGGTTGAACTGTTCTGGAACAGTGTTGTAAATACAACTTAACCACTGATTTCTAGTCGTGTCCTCTTTTGGAAGGCCAAACAAAGTAGTTTCGCTTTCACAACGAAACACACAGCGGCCTAGAGTGAGCAGAGTGAGGAATGGCCGGCGGGCTTGAGAACAGCACGGCTGGCGGATTCGACGAAGGAGCGGCCGGCAGGCTTGCGTCAACCACATGTGATGACCCCGGGCTGGACTCCGCTTCATCCACAGTGAAAGCCGAACCGGCGATCCACAGCGCGAAGTTGATGTATTTCCTCAGCGACCAGCACGGATCAGCTCTAGGCATGACGAAGCGGATATCGTCCTCTTTTGGAAGGCCAAAAAGTTGTTTCGCTTTCACAGCGAAACACATAGCTCAAGACATGGTGGCGGCGGCAACAATACTACAGCGAGAATAATAGTTACGCCTTCTTTCTTTGCGTGAACATTTGGGCGGCGTTATGCAAATCTTCCCACATCGTGACGTAGACATTAATGAGCCATTTTAGGTAGGCGTGGTTGACTCTTAACTTTTATAAAGAATCTCTTTGGATTTGAGACTTTAGTCTTTGCAACTTTACAGATCTTCTTTATGCACCAAGAGCTTGTAACACTCCAAAGAGAAAGGAAAAATTGAAATCTAATCATATGACCCCTTTAAACAAATCTTTGAATGACTAATGAACATTTAATTTTACAAACCTTGCAAACTTAGTCGGATCCAGTTGAGAGATCTTGTGAAGTGTGCATTTGTATCCTGCATGCTCGCGTATTCGCTGCATGACGGTCGATCCGTGTGAATTGAATGCGGACAGGAGTAGAGTTCAGCTTCACTAGAGATCCACGATCGAAAAACTTTAAACTTGTGATTTTAAATTATGCTGCGCTTTATACATTTGCCCAATGTCATATTCATGTCATTTTCACTGTGTGCTGTATGTAAAATGAGTGTTATCTTGGCTTTATTTAAAAAAAATATGATTCCCAATGCACACAAACTTCCCAGAATACTGAGTGCCCTGTTGGTTACAGTGTTTACTTTTTAATTATATTTTTATTAAATATTTATTTGTGAAAAATACTTTGTCATCTAAAGTATAAGTATGTTTATTTAACACATTTATTTTTTAATCCATTTTCAAATGATTTCAAATTTCTTAAATATTAATTTAGAATAAATAAAATGATATCGGCTTTATATTGGCCACCCTGCTTTCCACGACATCAGCATCGGCTGTCAAAAAACCAATATCGGTCGACCTCTGATGAGGTGAATGTATTATTAGTGTTTTAGTGCTGATGAGCCACACAGAAATTTAAAACACCTAATAACAAAGAATAGTTTATTTATAAATAAATAAATAAATAAATAAATAAATAAATCACAGAGGAATGAATGAACAGTACAGAAAACAGACAGAAAAAAAGGAGATGAACAAGATGGACAAGAATGGCAGAAAATTTCAAAACACAAAACACAAAAGAAAACAAAACAAACATACACGCAAGTCAGAATAAAGATAAATGCAAGCTTTCATATAAATAAAAAAGCATGGTTATGTGGGGATGAACAATGATAATGACATAAAAGCTGGATGTGCTGTTACTGTGTGTCCTGCTTTACACCAGATACAGGGCTGATATAAATAAGAGCCATCCAGAAAATCAACAACCTGATGGGCAAAATATTAAGCCATTAGCTCTGACCTTGAACTGACTATAGCCCTGCATCATTGTTGGCTGAACAAACTAAAAGGTTCTTTTGGTATATTGGGAGATTAGAGCATGACATCTGATTGGTTTTCTGCACTCTCTGTCTGTACTGCACCTTCTCTCTGTTTGGCTCTCTGGATCTCTTTCTGTAGCTGATCTCTCAGCTCTGTGTTCATCTGGACTCCACTTTCCAGCTGCTGTCTGAGGAGTGATACAGCTGTGAGCTCCAGCTGCAGTGCCTGCAGCCTCTCAACACTGAAACAAAAAAAGCATCATTAAAATATATGTCTCAAGTGTTTAACATCACATTACAGCAGATACGACCTTTTAGGTGTCACACACACCTGTCGCGCTCTTTGACGGCTCTGATGAGGTCAGAGTAGAGATGTTGCTCAGCTCTCAGAGCTCGGTTTAACTCCGTCTGCTCAGTCAGCAGATCAGACAGAGATGCAACATCCTACAAAATAAGAAAGGCATTCAACATTAGAGATGCTAACATGTATCAGCTTAAAGAATGCATGCATGTGTTCACATGTACCTGTTGTTGGCGATCTCCTCCAATGATGGTCCTTTCTCTCTGAGGGAGAGAGGAAATGCTGCATTCATTTTCACCCGGCTGGAACGCTTGATCCCGGGTCAGAGGAAGTCGACTGTCCCCTCTTTGAGACAAACACTGGTGCAGCTCCTGCAACGAACAACAAAATCAGACTAAAGCATATACTGTAACCAAATCTCAGAGCTCATGCTAGATGTGCCTTGAAAGTTTAATATTTTACTGTTTAATGTTTTATTGTCACTTTTGATCAATTGAATGCATCCTTGCTGAATAAAAGTATTAATTGCTTTCAATTAAAAAAAATTTTTTTTTAAAGAATTTAACTGACCACAAAATTTTTAATGGTGGTACATGTGAGTGGTTTATACTCACAGTAATGATTTCTTCTTTAGTGTTGAGTGTTGATGTAAGGGACTCGATATTGGTCGTCTGTCCCTCTAATCGCATCTCTAGTTCTGAGACCACTGACTGAAGCTCTGCTCGAGACATCTGTCACAAACACATACAAAATTATTTTAAAAACTTCAAATGTTGAAACACAAAAAAACATAAATCCATTAAGATCTCAAATTAAAGACCTTGAGCTGGTTCTCTCTCTTCAGAGCGGCATTCAGAGCGTCTGTTTTCTGTGTGAGCTCTTTCTTCAAAACTACCATTGATGTCTTACTGACTGTCGTTATTTCCAGAGTTTCCTCACTGTTTCGCCTGCTTAGTTCAGCTACAAACACACACACAAATGTTATGTCTAGATATAATTTAAGTTGAATTTAAGTGAGGCATGGTATATTTCTGACAATATCGGTGTTTTTCAAGAAATATCACCGTTATCTGCCCATATGTGCACCTTTACTGTAAAACTGTTATATTCTTACAGGACAAACACCCTCACCTTCTCTCTCCTCAAGTTTCTCCTGCAGCACCTCAATGGTCTGTCTGAGCTCCAGCACCTGAGGAGGAAGAGCTTCACTCGTCTTCATTTCCAACAGGATGCTTTTCTGACAATATCGGTGTTTTTCAAGAAATATCACCGTTATCTGCCCATATGTGCACCTTTACTGTAAAACTGTTATATTCTTACAGGACAAACACCCTCACCTTCTCTCTCCTCAAGTTTCTCCTGCAGCACCTCAATGGTCTGTCTGAGCTCCAGCACCTGAGGAGGAAGAGCTTCACTCATCTTCATTTCCAACAGGATGCGATCTTTCTCCTGTCCACGGTCTAGCAGCTTCTATAAAACCAACAGAACAACATCACTTGCCATTTACTCACCACAAAATGACTGTCTTATGAAGGTTTTTTTGCACACTAAAGCAATTCCAGTTCCGGACCGAGCAATCGATTTAAGTGTGAAAACAGCCTTGTGATCAAAAGATTTCAGGTCAAAGTCTCACATTAATGAGGGCATCCTTTTCCGCCAACATTGCACGAAGTTCAGCGATCTCTAGGTGACCGTCCTGTGTTGCTGTAGCATTCAGTCTCTGTGCATTTCTGAGCTGCAGCTGTGTGTCTGCCAACTCCTTACGAAGATCCTGCAATTCTCCTGCATGTTTATTCAGAGTCTGTACGTGATGCTCCGCACTCTCCTACAAACACAAAACAGACTTTTCTGAGGCATTGGAAAATATGCTTATAAGTACACATATTAAGCATAAGTGTACAAGTGCATCAAAACCATAAAAAACTCTCTCATTACTTGAAATTAAAAATTAACAATATAAATGTTAAAAAATATATATATAAAAATTGATGTAAAAATGGAAATACAAAAATAAATGAAATAAAAAATGTAATTCAATTAAATGTAAAATTAATTTAAAATTAATACAAATATTTTTTAATAAAACTATAATAGTATCTCAATGATAGCGAAATTACACTGGCATTCAGTACCTTCAGAAGCTGGTCTTTGCTGCTGATTGTGGCCAGCAGATTTTCTACAGCGGTTTGGTTCTCGGTCACTAGCCTCTCTCTGTCCTTCACTGCCTCTGACAGCATCACCTCTGTGACCTTTAACCTCTGACTCATCTGCTCTGCGAGGTCACGACCCTGAGACTCTGACTGGTTCAGAACCCTATTGGCCATCTCCTGGAAAGTTAGGGAAAAATGCCTTCACACTAACCAAGTTCTGACTCGTGTCTGCACCAAAACCTTGAGTGTGTGTTATACCTCCATATCTCTTGTTTTGTTGTCCAGTGCTTGCTGTAAGTGCTGTATAATGGCGTCTTTCTCTCTCAGAGCCCTCTGAAGGTTCTGCTCAGTCTCGTCTTTACACCTCTGAAGATTCTTCAGCGAGTTCAACAGCTGCTGCAGCTCGAGATCTCTTTCCTTTATTAGAGCATCAAAACTCTACACACAGAGAAAAGTCATTAGCATCTGATTCTACAAATGGCAACTAAGAAACCTTAAATGTGAAGAAATGAAACATATACCAATGCAAAATCTTTCATCACACAAACACACACTCTTACATTGATAGTCTCCTCGTTGTGTGAGAGCAGGTTGTTGAGATGCTCCACGTCTCTTTCTTTCTCTCTCAACCTCAGCTGCAGCAAATGGATCTCATTTTCTTTCTCCTCCACGGCTGCAAACTTCTCATCCATGGCTTTCTGCTCACAGACAATAAAGCGCACAAAAAAACTCAAATGATCAATATTCATGATATCAGGGCTGACAACTGTGCTTAATATTAAACAATACACAAACAGAGAAACATAAATCATTAACATACAACCATCCAACTGGAAACATTATCTGAGTTAAGTAGGTTGTTTATGGTATTGTACCTTTAAAACTTGTATATAAATACAGAATACAATAAAGGAAGAGCCACAAACCTCAAGTGCTTTCTCTTTCTCCTTCAGTCGTGCTCTCAGTTTACCCACCATGGGATCACCTTCCTCTGGAGTTCTGTTCCTCTCCAGATCTTTAACCATGTTCATATAGTCCTGAAAAAACAGGAATGAGTAAGCAAGCAGAGAGGTGTTTTGTTTGTGTGTGTGTGTGCGCGTGTACCTGCAGCTGCTGGTCCTTATGATTCAGGCTAGCTGTGAGTCGTTCTATGGCGTTCTGGAGTTTTTGTTCAGCAGCGCGGTTTTGTTCTTGCTGTTCTAGACGCTGTTGTTCTAGAGCGTTCTCTCTGTCAGCAAGAGCGCCATTTAGCTTCTTCAACTGGTTCTGAAGATCCTGCAATAAACAGACGAAAGTAAATAATATTAAAATGAATTAAATATTATTTTAAATGATTATTTCAACATTTGGTTCATCTGAGCATTTAAATTTATGTGACATACAATTTTTCTTTGTAATGACATAAGTATTTAGTCAAATACTGCTGTTTATTGCAATGCTTTTTTTTTTGTTTCAGCATGTGTGTATGTGCTACTCACATTAACGGTCTTGTCTCCCTTCTTCTTCTGTTGCTGTAGTTGCTCCAGCTCTTGTTCCAGTTCTAGTTTGGCCTGCTGAAGAAGGGACAGTTCTGAATCTCTGCTGCCAAGCACACGCTGCAGCCTCTGGGCTTCCAGCAGCGAGGAGTGAGCCTCCGCCTGGAGCCGCGACAATTCGGCCTGCTGTTCCAGGAGTAAAGACTGCTGGTCTTCAGCCCCCTGGAACAAACGGAAGAACAATGCACACATTACACAACTCCTATATTAGTGAGGAGGAGCAACGAAGTAGCTCCAGCTGTCATCTGTTCGAACTCACCACTGAAAAGTGCACAATCACACATACCTGATATTTCTGTAGTTTGGCTTTATGAAGGGCCTCTCGAGCCTTAGCCAGAGCCTGATCTTTCTCCTCAAGATCACCAGAAAGATCCTCAATCTGAAGAGACAGAAATAAAGTGTAAAACCACATTTTATAGTAGTTTTTGTTGTCAAAAGCATTCTAGTTTTTTTGTAAAAAATCAATTCATTTAAGATTGTTTTCAAATACATTATAAAACCATTGTCAAGTAAATACCACATTAACAAAGAAAGATTGCTTAAATTTAAACCCAACTGTAAAACATTTGCTTCAGATTTATGTTTCTATAATCATTAGTTCAATAAAATTCTGGCATATATTTCTTATTTATGTACTTGTTTTATTTTCCTCTGAATTTCCCAACTTGTTTTGTTCTCTAACACTGTATTTTTGTTGATAGAAAAAAGAAAAAAAGAAATCAATCAGTTTCAATGTTTGACTGGATCACACCTCTTTCTCCTTCTCTTTGAGAACCAGGCTGAGGCCCTGGATGGTTTTGTCTCGTTTCAGAGAGTTCTTCTTCCCTGCAGCCAGTTCGATCTCTCTCTCCTGCAGTTCATCAGAAAGAGTCTAAAACACAGAGGAACCCAATGAGACTTTAGTACAATACTTTGCTGTTAATTCAATGACAATTTTCTGCTTAGAAATCATGTATGCATGGAACCAACTTCTAAAATTATTACTGCCAATGTTAAAGAGGCTAATGTAATTTTTGTTATTTTAGTATTATTGAGATTTTCTCATTTTCTGTTTTCATTTTGGTTTAAGTTAAGGTTTTAGTACCTTCGTTGTGTTTTTGTCTTTTTTATTAGTTTATTCATTTTTATTTCAGCTTTAGTTTTTGTTATTTTAGTGCATCAAATTAAACAAAATGAAAAGGAAACTAGCTTAAATAAATTTCAAGTTTTTAATATGTTATATATCAGTTAAATATGATTTCATTCTATTATTTCAAGTAGGGAAAATGTTTTTTACGGTTTTAATTTAAGTTACCAATAAAAGCCCAGGCATAGTTTGCTTATATGCAGAGAGGGTTTGTCTGCGGAGTATTTACCTTCTTTTCTCTCTCGGTTTCTTCTAGTGTGTGTTTGAGGGTCTGGTTGCTGCTCTTGGCTGTGTTCAGTTCTTCAGTCAGCTGTCTGGTTTTCTGCTCCAATCTGCTCAGTTCATTCTGCCTTTCAACAAACACCTGCAACAAACAAAAACATGCATTTAATTTACCGCTAAAAAACAGTTAAGCAGTGCCCTAATGTCCAAGGTATAATCTGAGAAGGCAGAGAGCCATCAAAATCTGTGTATAAACGATGTACCTCCTGTTTAACAGGTGTGTATTCATCATTAAAATCCTCCTCCATCTCTCTCAGACTTCTCTCCAGCTTAAATTTCCAAGATACACCACTGTGGGCGTTTCCATGTATATAACTTGGATTTTTTAATACTGGAATCTTGCTTCTGTTGCATCGTGGGACAGGCCGCACTCCTTGCACACTCTTCAAGAGCTGCAGTATATCACACACCAGCGAGGGCGTTTCTACAGTTGTGGGGGTGGAGCCTCTCAATGGTCGTGTCTGTCTGAGGGGTGATGCACTGATGAGGGCGTGGTCATAGTGATCCAGGGCCACTGATTGGAGGGAAGTTGACCGTGAAATCAAAGCGCTCTTCTTATTTACGACGTCCAAATAGTCCCGACTAAGAGATCGAGGTCGGGTTACCGGCACACCAGTGGTTTTTGAAGTTTGACGAGAAGAAGAATGTAATTTTGAACGTTGAGAACAATCTGTTTTACTAAGCGGCTCAAGACTCACACACCTCCTCAATCGACCTTTAAACTTCTCCTGTTGGCCGTCACCACCAGAATTCACAGAAACAAGCCCTTGACTTCTTCCTAGTGTGTCTTGAATGCTGGAAATCCGTGTTTGTTGCTGCTTTGGTTGAACCGGTGGAGGTCGCCGAATGTATTGCAGTTGTTTTGGAGTATTTAAGCTTGCTCCAGTCTGAACTTCCTGTTTAAGAGGTACGTTTCCACCTATTTTGTGTTGGTTATGTTGTCTGTATTTGTTTGTGATTTGCGCTTTCAGTCCATCTCTCTCGCACTGCATCCGTTGCAGCTGAGCAGCATGCGTTTCCTGCAGCTGTCCAATGGCGACGTCGCATTGCACAATGTGCTCGAGTAAAAACACGCATTTTCCGCAGAGAAACTCACTGCGGCCGTCTCGTTGCAACTCCAAGCCCAACACGTGCGAAAGGATGACCGCCAACCTCAGACGGCCACATGCGCTGAACAACCAGCGACACTGACCGCCCTGCACACACACGCCACATACACGGCATGGGTCACGCATGTTCACCAGACCGACTCTACAATTTTCTGATCTGTACACATGCTATCTTGCTATGCATCTGCCTCAGTGTTTTTCCTTCCGTCTTGCTCTGCACTGAATCTGAACTGACTATGCTCTGCCCACACGCAGATTTAAACCCTTTAATCCACAAACAGACACAAACACACACAGGAAATCCTTTGGGTGATGTGCGCAACGTCTGCTAACACACACACACACACACACACACACACACACACACACACACACAGAGAGTAATCCACTCAGCTCAGCAGGCATCCGATGAGAAGAGTTGTATTTGGGCCACTGATGCTCCTGCTGTGACTTGAGGATGTTGCAGGTCACACTTATGCATGGAACATATGCATGAAATAGTATGTTTCTGATGATCAGAACAAAACCCCCAAACACCAAGTATTAATCTTTGATGCATAACTAGTGCCACACTGTTTTTGCTATAGACATGAATGACATTTTAGATTGCACATCTCTGTTCACCTGAAAATCTCACAGATTAGCACTGAAGGAGGGACCGCAGCCATATCTACAGAGTAGAATATCAGAAATTTTAGAGTGGACTCTTGGCATTGGCCAGAACACATAACAACCACCTAGCAATGACTAAAAATCCCTTACAAACCTCATAAACTATTGCATGTCGAACACCCAGAATATCCTAACGTCAAAAGTTTCAAAAATTGAACCCAAACAAATGCACACAAACTTTTTTTTTAACTTTTCTGTGCAAACTTTTAATGTTTGATTTCCATTTGCAACAGTCACAGACTGCTGCTGATCTGCTAATCCAGCTTAGCACATTACCCTTTGACAGGGTTCTCACACTCTTTGGCTTTCCTGTCATTTTTAATTACGACATAGGACTTTTACTTAGGGTGCATCAGATTGTGATGAACAGATTTAAACTATTATGCTTATGAGTGCACAAAGAAAAACCCTGAAATTTTAATGCTGGTGGAATGGATGAATCAGCTTTTGCTTCAAGACCCTTTCTCTCTTTACAACAATTTTGTAAATTGAAAACTGAAACAGGAAACAGTCACCCAATGAATCACACAGGCCAATGTCATCATGCTGGATTGCTTACAAGCAAATTTTACTCTATAAAAGTACTCACAAAGAGGAATATTCTAGTAACACAATGTGACCAGCTGTCTGCTTACCTCTTTGTCTCTTTCTGCATTTTCTCTCCCACGGTCTAGTTCTTCCCTAAGAGTCTGTAAAATAAACAAAACATTACTCTGAGTTTGTTCATGTGCGTTACAGATAGCATTAACCTTAATGTATGAAAGCTGTTGTGCTTTACAAAACTAATGCCAAATTTACAATGCAAAAGTAGCACAGAAGCACTTCTGAACTGGAAATTAGGGGTCTTTAGACAGACCGTGTAATGAGATGGAATAAATGCATTTACACAGCAATGTCAACTGTATACTTTTATACTAGAGCCTGAAGTGAATCAGAGCAGGTATAACTTAATCTGGCTTTTATGCAGCATTAGGTATTTTGAGCAGGCACAGAGCAGCCATAACTCAGCTGTGTAAAGAAGCCTTAAAAGACTAACCTGTAGCTGACTGTCTTTTTGGTCAATAAAGGAGTTCAGCTGTGCCATCTGCTCTGCCATTGGCTGTTTCGGGTCATTGCTCCGAAGCTCTCCAATCATGGAGTCTTGATTCTTGAGTGACACCCGCAGCTGCTCAATAACACTTTGGAAATCATATCAAGGATATGTTAATAGTTACACTTTTTTAATGTAAACTGATGTTTCAGTAATTTAATTTCTTTCTGAATTACCTCTCCTTTTCCTGAAGGGCCTGCTGGAGCTCTCTGACCCGTTCGGGGGTGGAGCCTGAATCAGATGAGGGTCCTGACTGTTTGGCAGCTTGCAGCTCTTTCTCCAATCCAATATTTTTCAGCTTCTCCTGTTCAGCAATGGTGGCCATGCTTTCCAGCTCCTCTTGGGTGGCTTGCAGAGACTTGAGAGAAAGAGAAAGCACTGACTAAAGATGGAGGACACATTCCCAAGCATTTGTTATAAACATTGTAGGGTTTGTTTTACCTCCTCGAGTTCTTGAATCCGAGCGCTGAAAGCTTCTCTGAGTGAGTCCATTTCTCTCTGCATTTTCTCTCTGCCATCATCAACACCTCGACTGGCTAAACTCTCTAAAGCTTTCCTACACAAACAAACACACACCATTTAGATCCATGTCTTTTATCGATTGCCTTCTGCATGTTTTCATTTGTAAATATTTCATCTGAAAGCACAAATGAGTAATAACCAGGTGCAGTTATTTTTTTATATTATAAGCCATTTCCGTAAAACAGACTGAAATTAATGAAAATAAATTAGACAATTTTTTTTAACTGATTTTTTTTTTAAAGCAAAAAGTTGCAACTAGGTAATGAATTCAGTCAATCAGAACAATTTGATGTTTAATGGCTATGTGGAATTTAATTTGGGACCAATCAAATTTGACTATGGGTGGAGCTACACTTCAAAACAGTCAAACAGAAACAGATAAAAACTAAAATCACGAGATAAAATGTAGCAATTTTTCGGCAAACAATCATCGAAATGAACAAGGAAGAAACAGGATTTATCACTTGATTCTCTATCATGTCGTACCAATGATTAGTAAAAACAGCAAGTAAACAAGTGGGCAGGACTTACGACGCGGACACAAGCAGTTCTTGTTTCTCAGCCAGATCTCGTTTCATTGACTCCACCTCCACCTTCAGCTCAATGTTCTACACAAACAGACAAGTTACTTACAATAATAAAAAACTGAGATCAACCAGCACAAAACAACTGCTTGCTTTAATATGAAGAGATGAACTATGCCATGTGTGTACTTGTATGTGGCAGTGTGTGTCAGTCACCGTTTTGTAAATGTCCTCAGTGGAGTCATCACATTTCTGCTGCACACGTTCTTCCAGAAAATAAATCCTGAGCTTCAGGTTGAAGTTTTCCTTCTTCAGAGCTGTGATTTGCTGCAGGGGAACCATAGAAATGATTCCCAAAATACTCTTTATTTAGACACTGACAATACAAACAAGGAGAAAATATACCCGAATCTTCTATTTAAGCAATATGTGTGGAATATTTTAAGGAACAAATCGGAATTTATACTGTTATTCACAAAAAATAGTAGTTTTCCTGTGACATTCATGAAAGTTCAGATTCATGAACAAGTGACTCTTTTGAGTCAGATCTTACAAATAATCTAGTTCACAAAACCAGACTGAACGGCTTATTCAAGAACTGGAGAAAACCTTCTTCATTTTCTGTATATGCAGTTCTTCCTTATTACAATATTCAAGCTCATTCATGAATAAACATAAGGAAAGCTGTTCTCCATATAACTGAAAGAGAGATGGGGAGGGAGGAGACGAGAACTAAAAGAGAAACAGAGTGACTATAACAGGCTGTGTGTGGGTCTGTAATGAGGGTTGGCATGAGTGTGTGTGAGTGTGTGTGTGTGTGTGTGTGTGTGTGAGAGAGAGAGAGACTGGCAGGGCAGTGAACTGTGAGTCATTGTACTCCGAGCGTTTTTCACTTCAACATCTGGGGCAGAAAGAGGGGGAAGGGAAGAAAAATATACAAATAGAACGAGAGAGTGTGGAATAACCACAAATATCACAGTGATGGGCAGTTGTACCTTGCTTTGAAAGATCTCTGTGTTTCTACAGCACACAAACACACTTTCTCTCATTCAGACACACACAGCCACAGGAATGCACACAGATCTTTATCTTAGTAAAGAAATAAACACTTTTCCTTAAATGGACAGGCAGATATTCCATACCAGAATTTCATTACTGCCAAAGAAACCATATTAGTTGCATACCGACCTGTTAAAAATTAAGTTCAAAAAAATTTGCTGAAAATGTACTTCAACTCAGATTAGTTGGTTTCTTCATCAAAACAGATTTTAAGAAATTTAGCATTATATCACTTACTTGGCAAAGAATCCTTTGCTGTGAATGGGTGCCATCAGAATGAGAGTCCAAACAGCTGATAAATACATCACAATAATCCACAAGTAATTGAGACTCCAGTCCATCAATTAACATTTTGTGAAGCAAAAAGCTGCATGTTTATAGGAAACAAATCCATCAAGATGTTTTTATCTTCAAACCGAGTCCATAATCATGCTTCGAGTCTTCGAGCAACACAGAGGTGTTTAGTTTCTGAATTAATCTGCGTTTTGATCGAATCGTGTGAATCAATGATTCAAGGGCCCATTCATAGAGGGAGCCATTTACTTCATTCCTGAATTAATCAGCCATTTGAATGAATCGAATGAATTACATTTACCGCCACCTGCTGGTAGTTTTAGTTTCTTATTTAGAGTATCATTTAATAATAATAATAATAATTAATAATATTAAAGGGAGAGTTCACCCAAACAATTAAAATTCTGTCATCATTTACTCTCACGTCCCTCATGTCGTTTCAAGCCTTTCTTTTGTGGAGCATAAAGGAATGTATTTTCAAAGACTATAGAATACGCTTAAAGGGACTTTGGTATTTTGAAGACTGTTGGTACAAAGCTGTTTTGGAATGACTTTCATTGTATGAACAAACAATACTGAGATGTTTCTCAAATTATCTTCTTTTATGTTCCATAGTTTACGTTAGGCCGTTGTAGCCTAAATGTTTGCATGTAAAAAAAATTTTTTTTGTTGAATCAAATCAAATATTTCTGAAGCTACAATTTGTAATGTCTACTTGATACTTTCTCATTTAACAGAAAAATATCTTGTCTTTTGTGGGTATTTTCACAGTCAAATTTATTTAGCGATTAATTAATCGAAACTATGTAATTAATTAGATTAAAAATTTGAATCGACTGACAGCCCTAGTTATTATGGATTACAGACTCATATTTTGACCAGAAGTGATGTTAATGAAGTTAATGACGGCTTTCCTACAAACCTGAGGTAAACGCTACCGTTCAACTCCACACAGACACAAGAGCACACATATCTCTAGGTTAACATTAGATTGAGCGGCCATGTAAAGTTGCCAATACTTACATATTTCAGATGATAAGCCATATTTGAGGTCGATGAATGATAGGCGAGCGTTTGGA